GAATTTACGTTGTGTCACACATATGAAGTTCTTAATACTCTCTAAACCACCTGCAAAGATTTAACTCTCTACAGTTTTCTCTTTAGCCTCTCCTTAAGAGGCTTCCTCAATTTAATGTTCTTCTGCTTTCCAAAGATGAGTACCACTTGACAGACCTTTTTCTGGTTGCTGCTGCTTCAAAACTATCAAAACTAAGCATGATTTATTTGTAGCTATGGAAAACTCAGATATCAAGACTTTGGAACAGATTGTGTGTGTTATTCAGAATTCAATCAAGGGTTAATTCTCTGTCTGTGGGTTCTCTAATCTACTGAATTACAAATGAGTAATTCTGAGCCCCACATTTTTCCAGTTTACATAGCCATTACCTTGGTTTTGCAATGTTTATGATCAGTCAAAGCTGACCTTCAGGCTTGTGTAGTAATATGTGTCTGGTCACATCGTTATACACTTGTAATGCACAGGAATTCTGTCTCACTCACCGAAATTATTAATTTAGTAATATGAATTGACTCTTCTTTAACATACTGCACTACTCTGACACTGGCATGGCCTACTAATCTTTCCTGCATATTAGTATTTTTGTTGTTGCAACATCCTCATAATAAGGTTTTCTCATATTGGTTTCTACATTTTTCATTTGTATCAATGCTAGAAGCCCAAATAGGACATGTCTCATTGATCACTTTTTCTCTTCTGTGTCTTCTAAAATGGCATCTCATTCAGTTTTTTTTCCTCTATTTCATGTTTATTACCATCCCAGGACAAATTAGGGTGAAACCTTAAATACTAGTATTCCAGATACCAGAATGAAGCTTATTTTTAAATATTGATAATGCTATCATAAGAAGGCATAAGAGGAAACATCACAGAAATAACTACTTAATTGGTACTAAGGCATCAAGGAATGCAAAGCTTGCCTTGCCCTGCATAAATGTTTTAAAATTTTACAAGAAATATTGGCATCCACTATGCAAGGTACTACTTTCATTGAATCTAACGCTAATGCAAGATCTTTTTACCTTGGGAATTATAAAAGGTAGTCCATTTCCCCTAAAAGTTATTATTTATTAAACATTAACTATCTTCTTTCCAAGGCCACAGAGATTCAATCTGTTTCATAGATATTTGTCTTGGGAGAAGATAAACCAGTCAGAGGCTTTCAAGCTGAACTCCAGAGTAGAAGAGTTACTACACCATAGAATCACAGAATCACAAACTATTCTGAGTTGGAAGGGACCCACAAGGATCCAGAGTCCAGCTCTTAAGTGAACAGACCATACAGGGACTGAACACTTGGCCTTGGCATTATTAGTGCCATGCTCTGACTAGCTGAGCTAATTACGAGCAAGGGGTGAGCGTGGGCGTGTGTGGACACATGGATCCTTTCAACCGTAAGCTGTATCTGCTCAAATCTGTCAGATTTGATTGAAACAGGCAAGGTTTGCTATGCAGTAGGAAAAAAAATCACACAGAGCACCCTAGCACATAAACATTGCCTTCTTAAGAAAGAAGATCAAAAAGCAAAAAATGGCAGAGCCTTGCAAAACTTTTCTCCAGCCGCATCCACAGAAGCACCACAGTTCCTCATGGGCAGTAGAGCCCAGGAGCCCAGCCAGTGAAACAGTGAAGGAAGGACACACTCCAGTTCACATGACGGGGAGAAACTTAGTCTGGCAGGAACCTAGTTCACATCTGAGCATAACCACAGAACATTTTGATGATGACAAAAAAGGTGAATTATGATGAAAAAAGCAAATTCCTAGTTCAGCCTAGGAACAACTTAGTGAGATAAAAAGTGATTGGTCTCTCCACTGAAAAATTAGCAAAAGGAGAAATGTTACAGCCAGTGCAATTAGGATAACAGATTAATAAAGGTAACAATATGGGTTAATTCCCTTTTTTTTTGTTACACTGCTACTCGAAGTTGAGAAGCCCTTTGTGTCACCAAAGCATTATGTGAAAATTAAGCCCACAGCACGCTTAGGAAATGTTCACAGGGACACTGTTACAGTTCTTCTGCAGATCAACACACAGTTAGGGAAGTTTCAACGTCATCCCTGTCCTGATCTTTAACTTCTTTGCTTTTATCCAGCAACTTTATTGTCCATATACCATAAACTACTTCCCCTACTGATGACTGGAGGATCTGGATGCTTTATGGCTCAGTCATGGTTCAGTTATTTAACTTTTAACATGGTGTCTTATGGCAGCCACAGATGTGCTTCTCCAGTGGGGTCAAGATGCCAGAAATCAGTCTGAAAACTGACAGACCCAACATCCCATACAATTTCTGCCTTCCGTAATGGCCAGAGAATCTCTACAAATGCCTTCACTTCTTTTTGTATTTTTAGATTTAAACTGCCTATCCTCAGTTTATAAGGCATGGATTACATGGACTTTGCAAACAGTTCCAGAAAAGAAGCCTGGATTTTGAAGTTCTGGGCTTAGGAACTCTTTTTAAAAGTTCTTGATAATTTACTGCTGCTCCTTCATTAAAATGAACTATTTTGTGAATAATAGCAAACGGCACAGGACATTACCAGTCTTTTTAGGCTTCTTGTCTTGGTTTCGTTGATCGACATGTTTATGAAGACACTACTAACAGAGGGCCAGCTGATAGAAGCCAAATGCAGAACTATCACGCAGGAAGCTGGTGAGTATTCATGAACAGAACTCAAATGGTTCATTAGTAAGAATGACTGATTGCATTCATGACTTTGGAGCCTACTTTTAAGTTTAATCTTTATCACTTGGATTAGCATTAAGTGACATAAATAGTCCCATTAAAATTATTTCATAAAATCAAGTGGGACAAGAAATACTCACGACAAAATATTCCTGAAATAAAAACAGAAACTTGACACTAGCAGTATTTACTATGTGGCAAGTATTTTTCATACTGAAAAGATAATATGTGCTCATTCAAACTCAACTAAAATTATTCACCATTACACTTTAAAAACCTAAAAATTAAAAAAGAACAACACAACAACAACAACAACAATATTAGTAGCAAAGACAATTGTGATTTACTTTTACACAGGAGTTTTTAAGACCTGAAGAGGTGTGCTTCAGGAAAGCAAACTGCAGCTCACCTCACTGCTTTTATAGTAACATATTTTATCCACATACAATATTTTAATGACTATATTTTCTAGCATGATACTTTTACTTCCTTCCCACCCCAAATCCATTAGCTTAAAAAATATTCAGCACAACTTACAGTAATAGATAGGAGCTCTAACAGTAAGTTCAAGTCAATTCTATGCTGAAGGATCAAAATATCAAACATTGTCATCTGTGCATTCAGTGAATGTTGCTTTGCATGGGCTTATATAATTCCAGAAGAATTTAGAGAATTTCAGGTCTTATGCAAAGTTCAGGCAACTGCTGTGCAGCCCTGTGCTCTGGAAAGCCCCAGATGTGGAAAAAACACACTAAGTTTTCAGCATTAATACAGTAGATGATCAAAGAATATATACTGAAAAGTTCAGATAATTTAAAACTATAAATATGCAATAATTTAAAACTAAACATTATTTTTGGTAATTAAGGGTAAACATTATTTTTCAAATACATGGTATTTATGGTTTAACTTCACAGTTATTGCTGATGTCTATGGACATTTTACTTAAGTGAATCTAGTAAGACTAGGTATCAGGATCTTTAGTTTAAACTAAAGTAAAAAGTAGAATTCCTTCTATCTGAGATGATTTTAATTGGAGTTTGTGACTATTTTTCATAATATGTTTTGGTTTAGATGAGTAGAGAAAATGTTAACAATACTGACAACTGAAATATCACAATACAATTGGAGCAAAATGAAGTAAACAAGGCTCTCAACAAGCTGCTATGGCTTCAATGTATAGACACATAAGCTATAGACACAGATGTGTCTCCAGAAGACAAATTTCAGTTACATTTTCTATTTTTTATTGACAAATTAATGAGCTGTGAAGTATTTCAAACTCCAGGGAATGACTGAAACAAACCTCTTCTGACTCTAAAATTGTTTCTTCAAAGAAATCCATTGCAGTTTAAGAGGCTTTGTTCTAAAGTATCTTCTACAAATTTTACTAAAAAAGTAAAACCTCCTCCTAATAAAATTCCAGAGCTACACTGCAAAGGAAGAGCAAAGTAAAAGCAGTGGCGTAAAATGGTATATATTTTCTTGCAAATGTTAATTAACATCAGAAGAGAAAACTACTGTTCTTCTTACTTATTGCCAAGTATTGGAGAAGAGACCAACACTTCTAGATTGTTCTCATATAATCTAGTTTTCAGATATCACCAGTTTTCATTTTGGAGGCAACAAACTGTCAAACAATGCAAATCTACATACAGACAGATGGTTTTTTCATAGGTATGAATTGTTGCTGCCATACTTCTTGCTGTCCAGAAAGGGCAACTTCAGCTCCACTTCTAGAAACCAACCAGAGTGTTGGAAAGTGTGTAGAGCTGTCATTAAGCTATTACCTCCAGCCTATCAAAATTGCTTGTGTGACCTTTCTGGGAATACCATTTAAAGAGGAACAATCAGTATGGGTGCACGCACATAAAATTACTGCAAATAAATATAGTGGTAGGTAACATAATTCCTGACCATCTCCACAAAGAATGCAGTCTAAGCAGTGACCTCTCCTGCACTTATCTTGAATGAGCTCTTACTGAAATCCACTAATGGGTTCTGATAATCTATTATTTATTGCAACAGACTCTAATAGAGAGTCTTAGCAGAGGACTCTCCTGGGTTTACATCCCTTGCAGATAAAATGTCTCACAAGTGACAGAAACGTGGCACCTGCAACTACACACACAATTTCTTTTGGTTGAAATTGTTTCTTTTCTATTTGGTTTTGAAAACCAGAACCCTTCCTCCCCCCAAATACACAGCCTGACTTGCTTTCATTTTACCTAATGCATCTTTAGCTTAATCTCATGGAAAGCTGTAGATACTGATATGCAACCATAAGTATTACTTGGGGTTGAGGACATACCTCCATGTTATACTTTTCCACTGTCCTCCTCAAAGGATCCACAACCTGCCAGCAAATCAGGATGCAAAGATCAATCAGTAGCATCCCTCCAACTATCCCCAGTAGCTTCTGGTCTTTAATGATCTGGAGAGACAAAAAAAAAAAAAAAGAAAAAAAAAAAAGGAAAAGAAAAAAAAAAAAAAGGAAAAAGAAGCAGGGAGATTCCCATGAGCCACAGATAGACCCTGTACAGCTTTATTCCTATATAGGGAGAAAAACACAGGTTGCTAATAATAAAGGTTTTTAACAATGAACAAAGAAAAGAAATATAGAAAGATGAAAGCAATACAAATAATTTTAGTTTGTTTCATGCTTATTAGAAGTATCTGAAGTACTTTCCAACTTCTAAAAAGAATTTTGGAGAATTCTTAAACATTTATATTGAAATCCAGGTTTAATATTGACTCCTGGAAAATAAGAGAAATATATTCTAGGGAACCACTAGTGTGCCTATGCATGCAAATGTGGACAAATGCTCATCAGCATCTCAGAGCAGCAGTCATTGAGGTTGTTTTCACTAAAATTTAGTACTCTTTCATTACCTTTTCGGATGTGGAAAACACAAAAGCTATCAAAAGTTCATTTTGGAGGTTTTTTGTGTCTATGTGTTTAATATTTGCTTCTGTTACCCAGGGAGCAGGAAGGAATGATGTATTTTTTCTATATTACAAAGGTCAGAGGCTTTAATGCACATCCATTGTAAAACATGCTTTTACTTTTGCTTGGGGTTTAGGTTAAAAAAAGAAAAACAAGAGTTGCTGATAAAAATAACAATTCAAACCATCTGTTAGAGTATTTTATAACTGCATGCAATCCCTATGTCAATTCTACTGTTGTACACATAGAAACACAGAAAAAATGCACTGCAATTGCATTATTTCAGTTGCAAGGTTTAAGCATGTTGAAATGCTTAAATTAATTTTATTTCAGTGCTCTTGAGTCTATAGTCATGGTTTTTTAATTAATATCTACCTCTGTTACTAAGAACACTCATCCAATAGTCAAAAGTTATTGCCAAATTGCTTTAACATGGACAAATCCACTTTTTTTTCCCCAAGTTTTCATTCTGGGAAACAGTTGACTTAATCCAAATGAAATATTCAAAAATATTAAGCCTGAGAAGCTTAATAAAGTTGTGATTATTTCAGTTCAATTTGATGAAATTATTAGGATTTCAAAAATACATTACAAAGCCAGAAGTGTCAGCTAATCTTAATAGAGGCAAGGTTAGTATTCCTGCATAGAATAAATTGTATTTGCATTACATTCCTATCAAGCTGAAGGAAATTATAAAAATGACAAAAATTTGAAATAACGTAAGAAGAACTTTAGAAGGTCTGGTTTTCATATTGCTTGGTGTGATACATTTTCTATTTTGAAAGATGTCTCAGCAACATTGTGCACCACCTTTTGTTAATTTGCTTTATTTATTTGTTTTATTTTATAGGTAATTTTGAATAAACTAAGAGTAAAATAAAGGCTAGAAATCAAAATGAGCTAAAGGACTCAATACATTATTTTAATTTGCTGAGACCAGTTATGTAAATCCATGTAGGACTGGAAAGTGGTGCTTTCCACATGTTTGGGGCAGCAGCGAAGCAGTCTCCAGGAAGCATCTCAGGAGAGACAGCACAGGCATGTCTGGACAGGGCAGGTGAAGGGGGAGGGTTCAGCTTTCATGGTGATATGTCTTGCTGCTGGATGATTTGGCAAGGAGAACTTTGCCAGGAAAAGGTGCCTTGGTGTGCTGCACAGGGGGAGGAAGATTGTTGAAACGTGTTCCTTTCTTAAGCTAAAATGAAAGCAGGTATTAAGCAAAGATTCTCAGACACAGCTTGGTCCCTTGTCCTCTTAGGGAAAACAGAACTATGTCTGACCTTTTAGCTGTTTATCAAGTGGCAATCAAAGCTGAAAAGAATGGGTCAGACTTTGTTAAAACAGCCCATGGGTATATTAATCTCTTTTCTAATGACTGCAAACAGGCCTTGGGTGAAACATACCTAATATTGTTCCTAGTATGAGTGGAGACATGGAAGAGAAAACAACAGGGAGTCAAGTCCATAGAGAATTTGATTTTAGAGGAAATGTTGACACCTTAACTCAAACTTCTTTTCCTCCCTCTTAAATTACTAGGGAATTTATTGTACTGGCATATTTTAGTTGGTCTTCCTTTTCAACTGATGTAGTTTATTTTGCTGAAGTTGGCTGTTGAACTATTACATGTTTAGCTTTCTTAGTAGCCAGTGGGAAGGGACAAAAGCCTTTCAAAGACAATTCATCCCACCTATCCTGGGTAAGAAGAAAGGGTCAGAAAAACTAGTGTTCTGAAACATGTCACTCCCTTTCTCACTCCCCATTGCCCAAGAGGAGGTGAAGACAATTAACTTCAGACAAAAATATGCATTTGACAAACTAAAAGCTATGTGAAAGCATTTTGCCAGAAATGTCTCCTTCTGCTCTCCTAAGCCAAAAAAGTTCCTTGGAAAAAAAAAACTAAAAACCAAAATATCTTTCTAATGAAAGTAGTGCACATTTTACCTAGGATAGGTAAGCAGCCCAATGTCTTCCATATTCGTATGGACTATCTTCGTATTGAAAGTAAGAGTGCATTGGATTCAGATTTACCAACCCCTGGTAATACTAATCAAGCTGGTACAGTAATGTCAGAAGCAAAAGAGTAAAAGGATATTATTAAAAGCAGTAATATTGATAATCCACTCACAGAATCAAAATAAATAGCTTCCTATTCACGATCACATTGTTAATGTGATCATATCACATCTCCTTGCTCTTGTACATCTCTCATTAGTACCTGACCTTGCACTACTGCAGATCACTATTTTAGTCCACTTGTAAGTTTGATAACCTTTCTTTGGACAGGTAGTTATTAGAAAAAAAATGAAAGTAGAGATACAGCAAACAGTGGTGCTCTTCCTTGGATACCTCTTGGAATAATTTTTCCTGCACTACTCTTCCCTTTTCTGGACAGAAGGGGAGTTGTATAACAGCATCTGTCACTGGCATTATTCATCCCTTACTTCTGCCAGACAGCCAGGAGGAAGGCAAGCAAAAGAAAGCCCATAAGATAGCCTAAGTGACCCACACTAGTGTGATGAGCTCTGTAAAACACAGAGGTAGTGGTGCTGCTGCGAGGTGAGAATGCAGGGCACCCGGGGCTGCCTCCCACACCCACCACAGCGCTGGTCTCTCCTCGGCAAAACCACAGCTGCAATACGGCTCGGAAACAGAACTCTCCACCAGAATGATAGCTTTCAGAACAAAACACCAAGGTTCAGTTCAGTGTTCAATTTTGCACCTCCGGTAGTCATTAGCAGCTTGTCCTAAAAGAGATTTGCCCTGAGAAACGCCACTGGTGTATCACCATCAGCACTTCTAAAAGGCTTGCTGCTCCCCCTCTTCCACCTGCAGGAAGCCCAGCTTTCCCTCTCCCCAGCCATCACTCCCACCCACTAGAACTCCTTAAGTTCAGTACATTCATTTCTTGGGAAACACCAGATGCACTGAAGGAGTCTTGACTCAGATCTTGCAAATCCAACAAATTCTCTGTCTGACAAAAGAAAGTCATGAGCTACTGAGGCTGCCCACAATCAAAAATGTAATTTTTCTTTAAGAGAAAGGTTCTCATTTTTTCCCTTTACATTTTCCTTCTAGAAAACAGTAAATTGGCCTTTGGAGAAATACATGGTAGCTAATAAAATCTGTTTTTGCAAGTGTTCCTGAATCCTTGCTGAAGCCAAGCTCTCACACAGCAGCATCTGTGAGTCATATTTTCTACCATCTGTGATTGGATAGGTGAATCTGTCTCATCCTGGCAGATCTGCACACTGTTATAAATGCCAATGCCACCAGTCTGGACTATATATCTGGATATGAAGCGATCTGTCCTCCAAACAAATTCACTGAGAACAAAAGCTGGTAGGCCATTTTCTTCTCAGCAACATCGCTGTATGAGCAAATCAAAATTATTCTGAAAACTCGTGACCATGAAGAGAGATCAAAGTCCTTACTCTCCACAGACTTTGCCATCTGATCACAGAAGATATAAATTCAGTCTAAAGCTCTGGGATAAAGTTTCTGCTCATGGAAACTCTTGAGGATTTTCTAGAACTATCACAGGCTGTACCACCTGCCATGGTAACTTCAACTGTCCATTTGGTTATTATTGCACAAACCTCCTGTTGGGCTTTTTTTCATTTGCTTTTTAAAGCATATCCATTGTGTCCTGGAGGATCCTATCGTTCACCAGTTTGTGGGATCACCTGGCAATTTGGCAATCAACAGTAATTAAACATTGTGTTTGTTTTTTATAGCTATGTCTAGGGAAAGCTTTCTGTTATTTCTTATCTTACTAGAAACCAACTCTGAATATTTAATGTTTCAAATGTTTATGACATGGACCTTAAAGCTGAACCCCATTCTAAACCACAAAGAAATAGCCTTACATATGAAGACTTACCCTTTTCTCCAGGATGTAACATTAATTTTGAACTCTCTGAATTCCACAAACAGCTTTCCAGTTAATTTACTTCTGTCTTTTCTTCAGAGTTAGTTTCCTTGTTACCAGGTCACTTCCCTTTGTCAGACTAAAACATCTTTAAATTTAAAGCTATACAGCTAAATCTTTGTGGTTTGTTTGTTTGTTTTTTTGGTTTTTAATTGATTTCATAGAAACATAGAAAGGCTGAGAGTGCTTTTGCATTTATTCTTAGGTTTTGATATAAATATTTTTTCTTTTTCATTTAAAATATAGAATAATTTTTTGTTTAAGAAGGCAATTCTGGTTTCTCTCATGTAGATTAACCCTGTCTAGTCTAGCTGACAGAGTAGTCCCTTGCCTTCTGGCACTAGCTGGATAAACACTCAATGTTATTAATCAACTTTTTTTTTTTCAGTTGTCTCTTCCTCAGACTCCTGGGATGGACTCTGTAGAGAGAAACTCTCTTTAAAGGATCCCTTTGTGAAGCTTCCTAGACCTTCTTCAATTAAATGAATATCGTTGACATCAATTATAAAAGCCCTCAGAAATCTGAGACCAAATATTTTTCTCCCTGATACATACAGAA